GTTAGCAGCCAAGCTCTTAACCACTGTGCCACCAGGGCTCCAAGAACTGAAGAGCGAAGGGTGGTAGAAGCATTACAGAAAGAGAAAGGAGAATAAGCAGAGTTATGGCAGTGAAGACAGGTAATGCCAGGGGTGGGACTGTCTTGAACATGTTGAAGTTGAAGCCTTTTTGAGATCACAGCAGTGAGAAGTCAGGTAGGCTGTTTGTTATAAGGATCTGGAACTCATTGGAGAGGTTGAGCCATAGATAAAAATACACATGTATCTGGTAGTTACTCCTTACTGTGATTTATGCAAGCAGATTATTAATAGAAATCTGGACTTCTCCGAGTTCCCTTGGGGCACTCTTTTTAAACAAGCCAAATTTCTCTCCTTATCTATAGCAAAAGCTAATCCTTAGTAAATATGAATTTAGACTTAGATTTTTGTTAAATCATTGCTTATAATTTATTTCATTTCTTTCGTAGAAAATCTTTACATATCAAATTGTTCTCTAAAGGAAGAGAAAAAAGTACATTTTAGTGAACTTGATGCATGTTGAGAATGTGTTTAAATAATAGACATTTTTTAAATGTTTCCTCTAGATTTGACATTGAATTTGTTCTCTCAGCGCCTACTTCTGAATGGAATGGCAAACAGGGACACATTTCACCAGCTCTTCTTTCTGAATTTTTGAAAAGAAGCTCACACAAATCCAAAGTCCTCATCTGCATTTGTGGACCAACGCCATTTACAGAAGAAGGGATAAGGTGAGTGGGAATGTGGTAGGAAACACAATGCTCAAACCATAAAATGAAGATCTTCCCATAAAAGGCAGTTGACATCTTTCAGTTCTTCTTTTTTGTATGAACCTGCACTTTAATAATCTGTTCCAGCCTAAGAAAAGAACAAAGTTTTTAATCTTCATGCAAATGAAGGGTTAGAGGCCAGGACTTTGCATATTAGATAAGAACGAAAAAGTAAGATACAGCCAGCTCTCTAGTATCTCTGCTAATGACTGGCAACATGGATCAATTCACAGTGGTGCCACAGTCTTACTTGAGACATTAGGTTCGACCTCTTTTTCTACCAAGGCTTTGTAATACGTAGTAACTAATCAGCAATGTGAGTCGGAATCAACTCTACGGCAATGGGTTTAGTTTTTGGAATAAGTAGTGTAGGAGCCCTGGTGGTGCAGTGCTTAAGTGCTCTGCTGTTAACCGAAAAGTCAGCAGTTTGAACCTACCAGCCGCTCTGAGGGAGAAAGATGTGGTGATCTGCGTCTGTAAATATTATAGCCTTGGAAACACTATAGGGCAGTTCTACCCTGTCATATAGAGTTGCTATGAGTCAGAATCTACTTGACAGCAATGGGTTAATAAGCAGTGTTCACCTCGTCGTAGCTTTTCATCTTCCTTTATTCTCTGCAACTGCATGAAAGTTACTAAATAATACAGTGATCAGAAGCTAGGCAGCAAGACAAAAAAGAGAGTTGTTAGTTGCCATCAAGTCGGTTTTGACTCATGGCTACCAGAACTTAAATAAGCCAAGCCTAACAACTGAACCCTGAATAATGAAAAATCAATAGTAGTATCCTTCTTATTTGAAATTTACCTTGATCTGACTTAACTCTAAAATGGCACTTGAAATATCTGGGACTAAATAATTGGCACTAAAACACACCATTGGGTTTCTAGATGATTTTAAAGATACTTTTAAAGAAACCAAAGCCATTGCAGTCGAGTCAGTTCCGACTCATAGTGACCCTATAGGACAGAGTAGAACTGCCCTATAGGGTTTCCAAGGAGTGCCTAGTGGATTCAAACTGCCAGCCTTTTGGTTAGCAGCTGTAGCTCCTAACCACTACGCCACCAGGGTTTCTTTTAAAGATACGGCTGCCTTAAGTTGCCTGCTTTTTCTTGTTTGGTATATGACTAAACCTAACATATTCTAGATAATCTTCTCTGTCTTGCTATTTTATTTTTAATTATAATTATAGAAAAAATTGACTCCAATAAATATAAATAAGTACAGATATTTAAAAAGTATTTCTGTACATATTGTATTGTAATTAAATTTATATTTATTTCTGGATTTTAATACTTTCATAAAAAATTTCTTCTAGTTAACCTCTCTCAACTTAAAAAACTTAATGTTTCTATTTAAACTTATATTCTTTAAAGCTCAACCACAAATGTTAAAGTTACAATGAAGAATGATAATGTGGTTTGAAATAAAATAATTTTTTAGATGAAAAGGAAAAGAGCTACGGAGTTTTCTACTTTACTGACAGCTATTTTAGAATTACCTTAATGTTTATGTATAGATTGCAGTGTAATACTTTTTAAGTGAATGGAATTAATCAGAATGGAATTTCTTCAGCATGGAAAGAAACTGTCTTTAAGGCCATTTAATCGGATTTCCCACTGACTGAGAAGGAATTTCTTATACAGCCTCCCTAATAGATATGCTAAAGGTATCCAAAACTCAGAGCTATATTTAGAAATGGATTGCTTTCTCCCATGACTTGTGGGCTTCTTAAGGGCCAAGACCATGTCTTCTACATTTTGGTTTCCTATGAGGCTTAGCCACTTCCTTGCATACTGAAGCCTCAGTAAATGTGTATTGAATACAAGGTAGCCAAGATCTTAGTAATTATGCATTTTTAGAATGAGCCCTGGTGGCGCAGTTGTTAAGCACTTGGCTGCTAATTGAAAAGTCGGTGGTTGGAACCCCGCCCACCGCTCTGTGGGAGAAGGATGTGTGTGGCAATCTGCTTCTGTAAAGATTTACAGCCTTGGAAACTCTGTGGGGCAGTTCTGCTCTGTCCTGTAGGGTCACTAGGAGTCAGAATCGACTTGATGGCAGTGTATTTTTTTTATTTGTTTTGGTTTATAACCTCTACAGGTTTGTTTTCTCAATTTTACTTCAGAGCTAATCTTTCTATGCTACACTAGCTGGCTTGCCTACTACTCTTCAGGAGTATTATTAATCATCATAGTTAGATCCCTGATGTTACTTACCCTTGAACATGCTGCATAAAGTTGTAGCTCAGTTCAAATCACCACTTGCAATTCATAGCATCTGCCCTTGTGACCTTCAGTTTAAGACTCGTACTTCTTTGGTTGCCTTGTCCTTACCGTCTTACTGTATGTGGTATATCTCTCTTAATTGGCAGCTACATGGACCTCTTACTATACTACAGTTTTTGCTGTTCTGAAGAATGACTCTTTTTTTGAGATACCCACTCTTAGATCCTTCCAAAGTTGATTTCATGTCTGCTACATAGGTTCTATTATAAGTATAACCACCAGAAACATACTCCCCATATTTGGTGAAAATTTTGTCAAATTTTGTATGATGTGATAACAAAGACTCATAACCTTTTTTTTTTTTTTTTAATGTAAAGAGCTTCTAATTACTTGGTTAATAAAGGTTCTTTTACCACTAAACATCCACCTACTTATACAGAGTTGAAAAAAAAAGTCTCTACTTTCAAGGCCTTCACTGGCTAGTGGTGGAAACAAATGCACATACAGATAACTAAAATATGACTTAGAAGACTGTAAATAGAATATTAATAATTTCAGTCCCTAATGAACTAATAAATCTATACATAGATCATCAGTGGTTGCTAGCATCCAAAAAGAGAAGCAACCAGATATTATATTCCTTATGATGAAGTGCCTATGAAGTAGCCTTGCCAGAAAGAATTGAACCTGTATCTGATCAAGCCTCTAGATCCAACTGTTAATTACGGGAAATAGAAGGACCTAGGACCACATTATTATAGTATACCACAGAGATAAAACAGCAAATTGAGAACTAGAGAATACACTACAGGTGAAAATCTGATTTTGTCAATAAATAAATTGCAGGAGAAAGAGAGCTGGAGGAGTATCTTATAGATCAAAAGATACTTAAAAGCTAATCACAATGAGTCGACTTTGACTCTTGATTCAAACAAACTAAAAAATCATGACAGTCATGAGACAGTTGAAAAACTGAACACTAACCATGTAACTGTTGATATCAAGGAATTATTGTTAATTTTTTAGAAATATTGTGTTTTTTTAAAAAAAATACACAGTTGGAAAAATGAAAAATAAAGTACTATGGTTATGGTAAACTTTGATCTTATGTTTTTTTTTTTTTTAATTTTCTCTAAGCATGTGTTTTATTTGTTTTTCAGGTTGCTGCATGATCTTAACTTTTCCAAAGATGAGATTCATAGTTTTACAGCATAATGAAGAACTGTCATTGTCCTTTATTCAACTGATTTATCTAAATTTGTGATTGCTTAGGGTTTTTTAAGAGAACATTTTTGTATATGGAAAAAGGATAACTAGAATTCAGGCTTCTGTTTCTTAAATGAAATCAGTATTCCTTCAGTATAGATAATTTGTGCTTTATTTTGTACCATAACTTATTTTACTATTCCTACTACTGATATTTGACCTGGAAAGTCAGTCATGACAACAAATACATACAGGATTCTTTGTTATGAATCACAAATTTCTTTACCATTTAAATTGTCTATATCACTGTTCTAAAATAGGGACTTGTGTTTTATGACATAAGGTAAATGATCAATTTGATCATGTTTCTATACTGTAAAATGTCTAATTAGCAATACAGATGAATTTTACATTGCACTGTTAACTCAGGAAATGGTCACTTATGTCCTTGTTATTAATATTAAAACATGGAATGTTATGACTTACTAAGTGATCCAAACATTTTGTGTGTGTGTGTGTGTGTGTGTGTGTGTGTGTGTGTGTGGCTTGATTCAGAATAGAATAAAATTATACTTAAGCACTTTTTAATCCTTGTGGTGGAAATGTGGTTGACTGCGACAGTATTGTTCTGTGTCTAAGGAGAATCCAAAAAGGCAGCAATAAAAGATACTGAAGATGCTTCACACACGTGGCCTTGGACTAGGTGTGTTTGATTCATAACCAAAACCAACTGAAAAGGGCATCAGGAAAGGAAATGAAAGCGTAGCATCTTGTCCCATGGCCTAAAATAATTATTTGGTGTTTTGGAATGAGTTAAATTTTAACTCCTTTGGAGCCCATCTGGACCAGCTGGGAAAATGAGGAACACTCTGTCCTAAATGTTGCTGTTGCCCTGGCTGGCAGCTTTCCTCACAGCTGGCAGTTCAGCAGGGAGCCCTCCTGAGCACTGATGTGTGGGCCTGCTATCCTCTCTCCCTGCTGCTATATGCAGCCTTCAAACTCTTTTACAGATTGGGATTTAGCAGAGTATCAAGAAGTCATTGTGAGCCTTTCATAAACTAACTGGGGTTTTTCAATCTTGTTCAGTATAGCAGCAGTGTTTTACAGAAGGTGGGGTTGGAGGCAAGTCTCCACATTTCCTATGAATGATTTTGTGGAGGGTTAAACTTTCACTGAAGAAGTGTGCATTCATGAGGAACACAAGGTGCAAATGGCTGACTGAAAACTGTCACCTTTTCATGTCTTCTGTCTTCTGTAGCCAATTCCGCCCACACCAGCATTCACGCAGACAGGAATCTAGCTCCGCTGAACTGGCAGTGTTCCCCAGTAGCTAGTTCTAGTTTCATGCCTCCCTGCCACCTCCCTTCTTTCCTTAGTCTAAGGGGGGCTCATGTACTTTCTACAAACCTCCTTTTTGCTCTTGTAGTTCATTAGTAACATATCAGTTCTTTCTACCTGAGCCCATCTCATTCTCATCTGTTCTGACCTTTTTCTCCTTCAATCCTCTTCTAGTTTCTTCAGTTTTCTCTCTGTTACTATCTGTATGTGTCCCTTCCTCATTCCTCCTTTTATTGTATTTTAAAGCAAAAGAAAACCCCTAAGTACCCTTCTGGGTGATCTTATCCACTCACATGATTTTATTAACCTATATGTTAATTAAGGAGCCCTGGTGGTACAGTCGTTAAGCACTTGACTGCTAACTGAAAGGCTGGAGGTTCAAACCTACCAGCTGCTGTGCAGGTAGCAGTCTGCTTCTGTAAAGATTACAGCCTTAGAAACCCTATGGGGCAGTTTCTCTTTGTCCTACAGGATTGCTATGAGTTGAAATAGACTCAATGGCAACAGGTATATGTTAATAATTCCAAAATTAGAATCTCTAATTGAGAATCAGCTGAGTTTCAGTTTTCATTATCCAGTTACCGTCTGGACCCAACCTCGATGTCCCACAGATCTCTCAAACTCAACATTTCCCAAACAAAACTCACATTTTCATCCCTCCCCAAGTGTGTTCCTCCTCTTGAATTCTCTGTCTGATTCACTGGTACACAGATTGATTGAATCAAATCAGGGCTCCACTGAAGGGATAGTTCCTGACGTCAGTATTTGATATTTGTTCTGCCCCAGGAGGGCTCCTTTCAGTTGTCTCTGTAGTTTAGCCAGTATCTCCAATGAATCCATCAATTTCCTCTCAATTGCCTTTCACCGCAGCCTCCACTATTTCTGAGAGAGTCCGTATGTAGGCTTGAATTTCTCCACACTTCATTGCAAATCGAGTCACTTCTGTTAGGGGAGAGATTTGGAGCTTTCTGTTCTATGACCTGCTTCTCTACCCCGCCCCCCCCCCCCCACCAACTCTACCCCTGCAAAGTCTCTGTGCTATATAGCTCTGGAGCTGGGGGAAGGCATGCTTCTCTGTGTGACAGCCCTGCTCTAGGAGCTGAGTGCTTAGTGGAAGGGGTATCAGAATCCCCAGTTTTGCTTGGCTTGCTTCTCCCAGCATGGAGTTCCTGTCCCAGTAGTCTAGACAAGGACGATCAGGCCACAGTTCTAATGGGTCTTGCATGCCATCCTCAGGAGTTTGGACTGTATCTCATCAGGGTCAGAGGAGCAAAATGATCAATGTTTTGTTTTAGAAAGATCACTCTGGCAGAAAGGGGAAGATTGGAATGGAGATGAACAAGATACTGCTGATACTCCACCTTCCTGAAGTTGCACACCTATTCTGATATACTCTGTCTACTTGGAAACATTCTCTCCATAGATTTCAGAGGATTGGGAATGAAATCTTGCACTGAAATCACAAATTGCTTATAAAATTGCTCTTCGTTTGGGCTCCACATCTAAGAAAACAGTGCTGAAGTCCCATGAAGGTTGAGATTCATGTCAGTTAACAATAATGGGTGTTAACATGGATTCAGGGCCCTGGTGGAGCAGTGGTTAAAGAGCTTGGCTGTTATCCAGAAGGTCAGCAGTTTGAATCCACCAACTGCTCCTTGAAAACCCTAGAGGGCAGTTGTACTGTGTCCAGTAGGGTCACTATGAGTCGGAATTGACTTGCCGGCAATGAGTTTGGGTTTTTTGTTTTTTTAACATGAATTCAGCCCTCACCATGTGCCAAGCTAACCACTTTATATTCATTATCATGTTGAATCTTCACAATGTTCCAGTAAAGAAGGTACTATTATTTTCACCATTTGACAGATTACAACATAAAAAAAAAAAAAATTAAAATTTGCTCAAGGTTACACAGCAGCTCAGCCAGAATTAGAACTTAGTTTTGTCTGTTTCCAGAATCCAAATCTTAGCTATTAAGCTAATTGTTTGTCTATATATTTTTGTATTTCCACTACAGTTAACATTGTATTTTACATATAGTACATAATACATTTTTGTAGACTTAATTAAGGATGTATCAAGCCCACAAATAGTTACCATTCATCTATTCAGTAATGCTGCTATCCATACTTCAAATATTGCATTACTCGAAAATAGAAAATTTTGCATAAAGTACTGGGGATTCACTTTGTGAATTCATACATTGAATAGTCCTTGTACTTTTAGTAGATACCGGCCAATAATATTTTTTTTTAATGAAGAGTGGGCAATATCAATAACTGACAGGCTGCAGATGAAATGAAAGATGTTAAAAATAAAATGATAACTGCTTCAATACTTTTCCCTATCTATGACTCCTCTTAGCCCCAAACAACTATGTATTTTGGGAGCCCTGTTGTTGGGTGTGTAAACATTTATTATAGTTATGTCCTCCTGGTGAATTGACCCTTTAATCATTATATAGTGCCCTTCTTATCCTTTGTGGTGGATTTTACTTTAAAGTCTATTTTGTCAGAGATTAGTATTGCTACTCCTGCTCTTTTTAGAGTGTTGTTTGCTTGATATACTTTTTTCCATCCTTTGAGTTTTAGCCTGTTTGTGTCTTTAAGTCTAAGGTGTGTCTCTTGTAGGAAGCATATTGATGGATCATGCTTTTTTATCCAATCTGCCACTCCCTGTCTCTTTATTGGTGCATTAAGTCCGTTTACATTCAGCGTAATTATTGATAGGTATGAGTTTAGTGCTGTCATCCTGATATCTCTTTTTGTGTGTTAACAGTTTCTTTGTTCTTCTCAATTTTCTGTGCTGAGTCGTTTTTCTTTATGTATTTTTTTTTCATCTTTTTCTTTGTTGTAGATTTTGTGTTTGCTGGGTCTTTATGTTTTTCTCCTTTTTTATTTTGATTTGTAGGATTGTTAGAGTCCTTTGTGGTTACCTTAATATTTACCCCTATTTTTCTAGGTTTATACCAGTCTTTTAATACTTTATATCACCTTAACCTCCCCTCCAGATAAAAAAATCAATGTCTCCATTTTTGAAGTCTCTCTTTTTCATTTTAATGTTATCCTTTTTTACATATTGATATCTGTTTCCCTATTTTCAATGTTTTAGCTTTGATGTATGTTCGATATATGTATCTGAGTCAATATCTGGTTGCTCTGTCCTGTGTTCTAGTCTTGCGTTGTTAGCTGGTGTTATTGATTATCTAATCGTAGGACTCCCTTTAGTATTTCTTGTAATTTTGCAAATTCCCTGAACTTCTGTTTATCTGGAAATGTCCTAATTTTGCCATCATATTTGAGAGGCAGTTTTGCTGGATATATAATTCTTGGCTGACAGTTATTTTCCTTCAAGGCTTTATATATGTCATCACATTGCCTTCTAGCCTGCATGGTTTCTGCTGAGTAGTCCGAGCTTATTCTAATTGACTCTCCTTTGTAGATGACTTTTCTTCTATCCCTAGCTGCTCTTAAAATTCTCTATTTTTGGTTTTGGTAAGTTTGATTATAATATGTCTTGGTGACTTTCTTTTGGGATCTACCTTATGTGGGGTTCGATGAGCATCTTGTATAGATATCTTTTCATCTTTCATGATATCAGGGAAGTTTTCTGTTAACAAATCTTCAACAATTTTCTCTGTATTTTCTTTTATCCCCCCCTGTTCTGGTACTCCAATCACTCGTAGGCTATTTCTCTTGATAGAGTCCCACATGACCCTTAGAGTTTCTTCATTCTTTTTAATTCTTTTATCTGATTTTTCCTCCAATAAGTTGGCGTCAAGAGCTTTATCTTCAATGTCACTTTCTAACTTCTACTGCCTCAATTCTGCTCCTATGACTTTCTATTGAGTTGTCTAATTCTGAAATTTTATTGTTAATCTTCTGGATTTCTGATTGCTGTCTCTCTGTG